GTTACAATAACATTCAACTTGCCTCAGTAAACTGTAATCTACACAGTCAGCTAAAGACAGGGTAGTCTGTGAAGATGTTAAAGAATGTGGAAATTGTTGAGAACTCTAGAATATTTCATGAAATCCCAAGCAATCAGTGGTATGTTTGTTCCATGATTGAATGAATGGATTCTTCTTTCTTGAATTCAGGAAAATGTGCCTGACCTCTATCCCACAGTTTAAAGAGTTACACATTTACGGATTAGGATATCTCAGCTTGCATCAGTCATTGTAATGCTAAGAACTACAACTCAACTTCCATCTTGGTATTAGGGCATTAAGATACTTCTCATCTCAGTAGGCAGAAGGACTAACAGACAAAAATTAAGTAGAGGGGGTTCAAAAGGTGGTGGGAATTAGATTTACAAAATTTTTACCAGGAAGTGGGTACTTGAAAAGCATGAGGTGGGGTTAAGGGGAAAGACAAGAGAACAAGAGGAAAATGCAGTCTGGAATCCGATGTATACCTTACAAAATTAAGAAAAGAGGAAGGATAGGTAGGGGAAGGATGAGTGAGAATGCTGAACTGAGTGACGTTGATCAAGACATATTATATTTATAATTGCTTGGATAAAGAGAAAGTCCTTTGTACAACTCTTGAAAGCATGGACGCCTGTGACCCCATCTAAGGTCCTGTGTGCCATGAGGATGCAATATGTGGGCATGCATTCCCTTGGACAATGAAAAGGGAAACACCTTTCCACCTCAGGGCCAAAGTCCCACGCCCAAGCACACGTCTCAAACGAAGGTTTGCAGGACATGCCATTCTTGTCCCCTCTTATTCATCCCATAGAACAAGGCCTCCAGACTCCCTTTGTGTGTCTCAGGTAGCTGACCTGTGCCTTGCTTACTCAGTAATCTTTCATCACTACAACTACCTCACCTTTGTTGTCAGGGATTAATTCTTCCTGCTAACTGACTTACAGTTAATTCTCATCATCTGTATTCCCCTTAAACTGTTTAAGATTGACTTTCTTCCCCCTGACAGAAGATTTACTTTCCTGCCTGTATGCTGTATATAAGCATTTGATATTTCAATCCACTTTGTGTATGCCCACATGGTGTAGTCCACTTTCTGCCTACCAGATTTGTATTCCTAGGTTTCTCTGGGTGAACAGCAACCTACAACTCCTTCAAGATAAACAAAAAGAAAATGATGCATGCATAATCAAGGGACCTTTATTCAGCTACAAACGACATAATATGGCATTCACTGGTAAAAGGATGTAACTGTATAGTGACTTGTTATTTGAACTAAATTAGGGTAATACAGGCAAATGTTGTTTTTTTGTCTTATATAATGGAATGGAATGGGGTCCTAAGAGATATACATATGCATACCTGTGTGTACATATGTGTATAATCACATCCTTAAACAAAAATTGTATATGGAAATGGACCCTAAGATGAGCCCCAGTTGGTATGATTCAATTTTGACCTTTGCTTTTGTTTTAGGTAATTTAGACTTGATGGGCCTAGTTCCCAGAATGAAACAAAATGCATCTGGCCCCCTCCCCTTAACAACCTAACTCCCCCTTTTGTTAAAGACTGACCCATAAAACAGAGAGATTATAATCCGACTCCAACTGGTGACACCACTCTGCTTATGGTAAATCTTTGCTTTTGCACATGCTTACAGTAAACTCGGCCTATTGGCCACCTGTGTGTGGTCTGCTATGACTGTACAATCCTTTGTGACCCATGGGTCACCTACACATTACCAAGTTAGACCTCATGGATTTTGCCTTTAACAACCAAAGAATGGAGGCTGCTAGGGGTCGCAGTATCAGCTCCCCAGCCTGTGCTGTGGCCCTGACCGGTCAGTGTAGTAACCTTCTCAATAAAGTTGCTTCTTTGTGAACAACTTTGTTGCGGTGGGCTCTGTCACTCTGGACAGCTAGGTGGGCTTGCCTGCCTGAGTAGTTGTCTTCCTACTACAATATGTGGTCTATTTGGGGATTCTAAGGAGAAGTACTAGAGAGAATACGATTAAGAAACACTTAATAATACTGATATAGAAGATATGAACTATGAGGACTGAATACAGGAACTGACTGAAAATAGTTGAATAATACAAATGGACAATTAAAAGAGGACCCTGGAATAAGGTCATCAGATTAAAGTAAATATATGTATTTTGAAATCCCTAGGTGAAACCAAGTTCCACAACTGACAAAAATACAAAAACTAATAATAGCACCGTTAAAAAAAATACACTCAATGCATAACTATGGAACTATGACTACTCTGTACATCACCTTTATGGTAAAAATTAAAAAGAAAAAACAAGTAACAGGAACATAAAACAGATTCTGTTGAGGATATGAGTACCAGTAGGAGCAGGGAAGATAAGGAAGGCATATAATCTAAAAAAACCTTAGGTATGTTTGTGCAGATATAAAAATGGAATGTCTTCATATTGTTTTGAGAAAGGGGATGAGGAAGGGAATGTTATGACAATCCATCAAGACACCCTTAAAAGTGACAAAGGAACTTTATTTACACTACTTACACCAGAAAGGGGACCTGTGACTGCCTTGTGTCACTGGCTACTCAGAACCAAGAGCAGCCTCAAACTCCAAGCCTCCAATGGGCAGCCCTGACCATTACTAGTTGAATTGCAAACCTCCTATTAGTCAGGTTTCAAATCTCCCAAGCTCCAAAGGGGAAGGCTTTTCCTTTTGCTTCCTTCCTCCTTCTCTGCAGGCCTCTCCACTGCACATGGGCCTCTTTGCAGGCCTCATGCCTTGCCACTTCCTTTTCCAGAGTCCTCTCCTGAGCCTTCAGGATTCTCCAGAGGCCCTGCTCTGCTACAATAGGCTCCTCTGACTGTGTTTCTCTGCATCATCTCAAACTCCACTCGTGCTACTTGGAACATGCAGCCAGTCCTGGGGTTTGAACTCAGGGCCATGGCACCAACCATGAACTGCTTTTGCTCAAGACTACCATTCTACCACTTGAGCCACAGTGCCATTTCCAGTTTTCTCTGTTTATGTGGTATGGAGGATAAAACCATGATTTTCATGCATGCTTGGCAAGCAGTCTACCATGGAGCCTCACACTCAAAACATCACAGATTTTGATAAGTAGAATTAAAATACTGCATAATAGACTGCAGCATGGGAAAACATATTTCCCAGCAATATATCTGAAAACAGACTAATGACCAAGATACAGAGAGAGAGCTCAAATAACTAAACTCCCGAAGAACCAGTAATCCAATTAATAAATACATAAATGAACTGCCAGGACAAATGAATGAAATTAACTCCCAAGATGTACAACTGAGAACATTTGTAGATGAAGCAAAGTTTAGCATCCCAGGACAGAACAGAAATACAAATTGAAATGACATAAAGTTTCATCTCATTTCCATCAGATTGGAAATCAGCAAGTACACATAAAGCAGTAACTGCTAGTGAGGATGTTTGTATGAGTTTATATTAGTGTACCAGTAGGAGCAAGGAAAATGGCATAGATGTCTCTTAAAAAGGTAAAAGTAAGAGTTTCATAGGATCCAGCAATATTACTCATGAGCCTACATCTGAAGGAATTTGTTTGTTTTAATTGTGAAAATACTGAACAGAGGGTTACAATTACATGGGCAAGATAAAGAGTACATTTCTTATCAAGCATTGTAACCTCTTCCTTTGTTTCCCCTTCCTACCCTCCCACCCCCTCCTCTCACACAATTCTCCATGCTCACCCTCCCCCTGCCCCCGGCACCAAAGTGGTAAAGTTCATGTTCAACATGACTTGCCCATCTCATTGTTGCAATGGGTCCAACTGTAACCCTATTTAAACGATGTGTTTTTCCCCTTCCCCACCAAAAATTATACCTACATCAAATACAGGGAAAGCTGGGGTTATATGGTGGAAGAGGGACAAACAAAGCAACAAAGAAATAATCTTATTAATCTGTTAGAAACAATCGCAGGAAGAACAAAACATTTGAATACATATCTTAGGATTCATTTCTCTAACAATAATTTATCTGAAGTTTTCTGCTTGACTCAGACATATACTAGTTATGAAAATAAGGGAAACCATGGGACCTATGTTTCTTTGGGCCTGGCTAACTTCACTTAATATAATTTTTTCCAAGCCTTTCCATTTCCTAACAAATATGACAATGGAATTCTTTCTGATGGAGGCATAGAATTCCATTGTGTATGCATACCACATTTTCTTGATCCATTCATCTACTGAGGGGCATCTTGGTTGGTTCCATGTCTTACCT